GTCGTAGCCTTCACCCTTTCTTCTTGATCTCCAATGACTATCGTTTCATGGTCAGGTAAGCCAACTCGTTCATTTGTGTTTTAATTATATAACCATATAAAGTTTACAGATCATGTTGTATCGGATTGTTCTGAAGCACTCCTATGCCTTTTACTTGTTTATTAACGTTTATCAGGCCATTATCCAATCGGGCTGGTCATAGGGCCATAGGCCAAATGATAGCTCTTTTTGACACAAAACTCATCTCCAATAGAGGTCTGGACCAAAAAACCTTGGGACCCATCGGGCCAAAATCAACCATATGGCCAGCAGGCTGGCCATCCTTAGCTTGCTAAGCTAGCCCGTTTAGTTGGGCCTAGTTGGATTTTTTTTTTTAAGACAAAATTAAAAATAAATAAAAAATAAATTCTTATAAGTGTTGGAATTTTTTTTAGATCGACAGGCCCGGGGCCCCACTCTAACGACACCAATACTTTCTCCAACTTTACCACTTACTCAATCCGTCAGGTGTGAGGTTTTACCATAAAAGGCCTCAGTATTACTTAGAGTGGGGTAATCATATTTAAACCCATTGTTTTCTTTGCACCCACCGATGTGGAATTCTAACACTCCCCCTCACGTGTAACCCCATTTAGTGGTTCACACGTGGAGATCCACACATTGGCGATTGAAACTCAAAGATCAGCTCTATGTTAAGAATCCAAACTTGTTTTCAATGAAACTCAGAGGCCGGCTCTCTATTAAGAGTCTTGACTTGTTTCCTTCTTGGTGACAAGCTCGTTGGCTTGCATAGGCCTGAACCTTGGCTCTGATACCATGTTAGAATTTTTTTTTAGATCGACGAGCCTGGGGGGCCCACTCTAACAACACCAATACTGTCCTCAACTTTCCCACCTGCCCAATCCGTCAGGTGTGGGGTTTTACCACAAAAGGCTTCGGTATTAGTTAGAGTGGAGTAATCATATTTAAACCCATTGTTTTCTTTTGCACCCACCGATGTGGGATTCCAAAAATAAATACCTAAGACATTTCTACACCATTTCTTACATCCTTTTCACCCTTGCATACCATCTTACCTATTTCATTTCAATTCTTGACATTATATTCACTTCAAACACTCTTTTCATACACACCCCTCTCTTACCTCCTTCAATAATTTTTCCTTTAATTTTTTCAATAATTTTCAAATGGCCATATTTTCAAGTGGCACTTAAAATATGTCCAGAAATCTTATTTTAATGTGGTAGTTTAATTCAATTAACCAATAAAATTAAAAAACAAACTTAAAGTAATAAATTATTGAGGGGGCTAAAAAATACTCCTCTTTAGTTGGATCTATATATAAATATAGCATGACACTGTTCATTAAAAAAATAATTTCTTACAAGACTATAATCTTAACGGCAGCTAAACATAACCGCTTCGATTGGAGATGGCCTCACTCTTCAGCCATCCATCTTCCATGCATTGTGATACGTACTGCTTTATAGGTACAGTGAATATGACTTGGATGGGGGACCAGCAGCAAAGGCTCTCGGACCAAAATCTGATGTCTTTACAAACTGTGTCCACGCTCGCTTTGGCATAGAATTGCCAGAAATCGAAGTGAGGATCTCTCTCTCTAACACACACCACACACACACTCTCACTCTAAGACATAACACAATTCTTTGTTGGCAGATTAAACATGTGAAGAAGAAAATGATGTCTTGAAACGGGCTGGTTAGTTAGATGTATTGCAGAAAGGCCTCCAAAGGTTTCCTTTTATTATTAAAATAAAGGAACCATGCCCAGTGCTGGAATAGTGACATTTTGGGCTTAACTTGCGTTTTTGGAGCCCAAGATGACCTCGGATGGGTTCGTGACCTTCTGGACATATGTTCAGAATGTTCTTATCTTTAAAACAAGCTATCTTGGGCTAGATTTGGAGGAGATTTAAGGCTAAAACATGGCTGAACAGTTTCTGTGCAGTTTTTCCTAGTTTATTTAGGAATTTATTTTCTAGTTTATTTCATTATTATTTAGTTTCTTAGTGGGAATAAAATACTTGAGGGTTAAGGTTTGTGTGAGCTTTAGGGAGATATTAAAAGGCTTGGCCGTTCCGAGGGGAGGGGGCTTTCTTTTATGCAATTTTGGGGAGACAGAGAACTTGGCTAGGGTTCTTGGAGATTTTCGACTTTAAGGTGTTTTCATTCCGTTTATTCTTAATAATATTTTCTATGATTTCAATTATGAATATGCGTAACTAATTCCTTTTGCTAGGGTGAAGCCCTAAGCCTTAGCATAAATATGTGATTTTTATTTAATTGCTTATGATTGATTGCATGCATACTTTGAATTATTGATCACCGTGATTAAAACTATCTAATTGTCTTAATGCCTGATCACCACTAGGATCTTTAGACAATTAGATAGTTTTAATCACGGTGATCAATAATTCAAAGTATGCATGCAATCAATCATAAGCAATTAAATAAAAATCACATATTCATGCTAAGGCTTAGGGCTTCACCCTAGCAAAAGGAATTAGTTACGCATATTCATAATTGAAATCATAGAAAATATTATTAAGAATAAACAGAATGAAAACACCTTAAAGTCGAAAATCTCCAAGAACCCTAGCCAAGTTCTCTGTCTCCCCAAAATTGCATAAAAGAAAGCCCCCTCCCCTCGGAACGGCCAAGCCTTTTAATATCTCCCTAAAGCTCACACAAACCCTAACCCTCAAGTATTTTATTCCCACTAAGAAACTAAATAATAATAAAATAAAATAGAAAATAAATTCCTAAATAAACTAGGAAAAACTGCACAGAAACTGTTCAGCCACGTTTTAGCCTCAAATCTTCTCCAAATCCGGCCCAAGATAGCTTGTTTTAAAGATAAGAACATTCTGAACATATCTCCAGAAGATCACGAACCCATCCGAGGTCATCTTGGGCTCCAAAAACGCAAGTTAAGCCCAAAACGTCACTATTCCAGCACTGATCATGGTTCCTTTATTTTATTGCCAGAAAATCATCGCTTAGTAGAAAAAAACTGATATTTTGACACGATCAAGCTAAGTGACTCACGAACGTCCTCCAATTGGAATTACTCCAAAATTCATCCATTTGACCATGTTTTGCTCCAGAGGAAGTCGAAAATCCTATATTGGAAATATAATTCAAAGTATCAAAATTCTTCCAAATTATTAACCAAAATATACTAAGAATAGGGTTAAATATATAATATAAAATATACTTATCAGTAGGCAAACGGAATCTTGCACATAAAATGTTTGAAGAAAAAGTATTAGTATCAAACTTCATATCTGGTATATTGTTAGTTGGATTCTGATTTTTTTTTCGTGCACAGATTGTGCACTTAGTTGTGGCTACCATAGCACTCAAGGGCAACGGGGGCACCCTCTTTATTTTTGGAAGTTCTCTCCGTGCCTATCTCTTGGTTTTTTTTGTTTTCTTGTTTGTTGCTCTACATAGTCTAGTTCAGAACTTTTGCAGTTTGCTATGTGCTCGGTTTTGTTATTTCATATATTATCTTTTTTCGGTGCAGCTTCTGCATCAGATGATTGTCACTCCTGTTTATATGACTTCTACAACTATGATAACAAGGATAAAGAATTTAAACAGCTCTTCATCAAATTCACACATGCTTTAGTCTTCCAAATACTAACATTAAATTATCACCAATCGCATTGTAAATGGTGTTCATCAGTATTTACCGACATACATGTTCATAAATCTTTTTCCCCTCTGCAGAATTGGCTCTTTTCGGAGCATTGCTGTTTTTTTGTTGGGGTGAAGAACTCGATTCCTCGAAGACAAACCAAGAAGGTTCAGAAAACGAAAACTGTTTTGGCTCAGCAATTGGGTTCAAATTTTGTGGTTTATGTAAACTTGTACCTTAAACTGATGGGCCACATTTTATTTTGAGCGCTGTCGTATGCACTTTCACCCCAGTGACTGGTTTTAATTTATTTTCTTTCTGCCAATACGATTTTCTCAACTAACCTAAATCAAGTCTGCAGTTGATTTTATTGATGAACAGTTTTGGTTTTTCAATGGATAACGCAGCCGCTCAGAAGATATTGCATGCTCTCAACAGTCCTGTTTAGACTGGAATCTCACCCTTATATGTGTCACAAAATCCTTCCAAATTAATCAAAAAATAATTTTCATGGATCAGTTAATATCACCCGCCTCTCGCTCTTGCTAGCATTTCTTGACGTCTATTGGAACACAAGAGATAGAGAGAGGGGGTGATATACACCAGTGACATGTAAATGTGTCTCATATTTTCAAGGCAAAAGCAATAGACAGTAACAGCTGTGCACTTGCATATGCTCTCACACTTTCGACAATCGGATTAAGTGCTCTTACACTTCGTTAGGAACGTCGTTGACACCATTACTGACTTTGCCGTCGGCTCATCCTTCAATTACCTTGGTTAGAATCCACCAAGTTAAAATATTCACACACAGCAAGAAAAAAGAATTGGAATCAAATTTGCATTTGAGTCCAAGTTAAAAAACGAAAGAAACTTTGCGTAAGGAATCAAATTTGCATTTCGACTTTTCACGTGGAATACATGCCACCTCATCTGATCTGAAACCCACTCCACTGAATAAATTGCTTTTTTTTTTCTTTTTTTTTTTTTTTTTTTAAGTGCTGTTCCAGAAAAAGCCAAACGTCTGATGCCAAAACTTTCCTTTTCTGTGATACGGTCATGTATAAGACCAAAAACAACCAAGGAAAAAGACATTTTTCTCTTACTGAATTGGTAACGTCTCAAGATTGTGATATCACAAAACAACAAAGGCTCAGTATCTCACTTTCTTGGAGTTATTCTCTTTAGCAATCAAGATATATTCTGGTAGCATCATTTTTTTTATAAATATTTGTCATATATTTAAAATGTGTACCTGTTTAATAGATATTTACAATTTAGAAAATTAGTGACGCTATCTGCCTATAAAAGCCTACCATGCATTGAAAAAGTGCATCCGTTCACTAGACACCAACCACTTAGTGAAATTGGTGACGAGAATATCTCTCATTTTCTTTGGCTTTTTCTTAAACCCAAAAACGATTTTAAAATTGGTAGGCATCTCTCTGCTTCTTCTTTTTTCTTTCAAATGGCCTCCTCATACATCTACTTTTAGATACATCTTGCAGAGTCAGGAATACTTCAGTGACATCATTCCCTTCGCAGCGAAGATGGAAGACGAGTCCTCGTATTACGACAGAACCAAGGAAGTGAAGGAGTTCGATGAAACGAAAGCCGGAGTTAAAGGCCTTGTGGACTCAGGGATCACAAAAGTCCCCAAGTTCCTCATTCATCCACCACAAAGCCTTTCAAATTCAGAAACAACAAATGTAAACTTTAAGGTTCCTGTCATAGACTTTGACGGCTTTGATCAAGATTTCCAGCGAGCACAGATTGTGAAGGAGATTTGTGAAGCATCCGAAACGTGGGGGTTCTTTCAAATGGTTAATCATGGAGTTCCAGAGAGAGTGATTGAGAATATGTTGGAAGGGATTCGAGGGTTTCATGAGCAGCCGAAGGAGGTGAAGATGGAGTGGTATTCTCGTGACTCGAAACATAGAGTGAGATACTACTGCAATGGAGATCTGTTGGTGTCGAAAACAGCGAATTGGAGAGACACGATAGGGTTTGATTTCCAGGACGGTCCATTGGACCCCGAGACATTTCCCTTCGTTTGCAGGTCCTTCTCTATACAAACTGTTCAAAGTACTAATACATTAACATGTCTAACAACATAACATACCGGATAATCTAACGAGAGACTGGTTTGATTCGCAGAGAGGCAGTGCAGGAGTACATTGAACACTTAAAGAACTTGAGGGAGATGCTATCAGGTTTGTTGTCCGAGGCCTTGGGGCTCAGCACTGACTACCTGGAAAACATAGAGTGCATGAAGACTGAAAATCTGGTGTGCCATTATTACCCGAGCTGTCCAGAACCGGAGCTGACCCTTGGCACAACCAAGCATTCGGATCCTTCCTCTTTAACTGTACTCTTGCAGGATGATCTCGGCGGCCTGCAAGTCCTCCATCAAGGTCACTGGGTTGATGTTCCTCCTACTCCTGGAGCTCTTGTGGCGAATGTCGGTGATCTTATGCAAGTAAGCTTTTCATCCTACTTCCTCTAAAATAACACTATTGCTGTCACACACATCCTATGTCCGTCAAAGTAAGTCAAAATCATGTGACGAGAAAGACAGAAACACATGTTCTTGTTCATAATCCGAATTCCTCAAGAAAAAAACTTGTGTCACGATCTCATACACCTCCTATATATCTCCGTCTTTCTTGTGATCTTATCATCATTATGAACTTGCATGAGAACTCAGTTATCTTCATTCAAATTATGTGCAGCTTATCACCAATGACAAGTTCAGAAGCGTAGAGCATAGAGTACTGGCTAGAAGAGTGGGGCCCAGGATATCAGCTGCATGTTTTTTCTATCCAAGTGCTACGCAAAGATTCAAACCCTATGGCCCCATCAAGGAGTTTCTCTCGGACAACCTACCGATATACAGGGAAACACACTTTGGGGAGTATCTTGCTTATTACAGATCAAAGGGGTTAGATGGTAACTCTGCCCTTTCTCATTTTAAATTAGCTTAATTCAGATAGGGAACTGTTATTAGCATTCTAAAAATACACTCTATATATATTTTTTTAATCATAAATAGTTTGGAGTGCAAATTGAGATTTTTATTCACTTTAGTCCCAATGATTACAGTTTTAAGGAGTTTATCTTTATGGGTTTTAGCATTTTTAGTGTGGTTGGTATTCCTCTTCACTTGTAAGTGAGAGATTTTAGATTCGATTTTCGTCAAGCTCACACCCCCCCCCAACCCCAATCCACCCCCGCGGCGCTCTCTCCTTAATGTAGATAATATCGTATGTTAAAAAAAAAAAAATCTATAATTTTCATTACGTTGATTGACAGAAGAGTGAATCTTTAGTCAACCCCAATCTTAATATCTCTTTTTATCAAATCAAATCCAAAATGACTCCCAATATAAGGAGAGATTGTTAGGCAGGGGCTTTCGTGTCACGTTATTTCTCCACCCAAAAAATGCGCAAAAGGAACTCCCGGCGTTCAGGACTTACACGAACCATTTTTATGCATCTTGGAAAGACGTGGCACGAAAGCACGAAAATATTATATCTTTGAACTTTGTTTCATGATAATGTAGAGGCTTAAAGGTGTTGAAGTTCTCTATTCCTTAATTAAAAAGAAAAACTGGACATGGAAATATACATTTTATATATACACACACACACACACATAGGTCCCTTGATCTTTTTCAATTCATCTGATCCTACGTCCGAAAATAAAAAAGGTGTGTGAAAAGTAAAAAATGGTGTGTAGATATCACACCTCAACAGAAGAGAGGTAAAATAACAAATGGCACCTTCACTTCACACACTACAAAGAGAGAGAGAGAGAGAGAGAGAGAGAGAGAGAGAGGGGGGGGGGGTGTCCGGAATTGCTCCATGGCCTTGTCTATCTTATTCTTTACAATTAAAGGGGGTGTTCAAACCAAAAGGAAAGTAAATGAACACCGTAAATTCCAATCGAAAGTTACCGACGACTCAATAATTTACCAATAACCTACAGAAGCATTCCGAGAGCGCGACAAGGCTATAGCTGTTGCGTAAGATTCTTGAGCTCCAATATCTGAATAAGGGACCACAAAATATTCATTCTGTGTATGCTTCTGTTGTTTTGCCCCTGCGGTAATTCGAAATTATTTAGTTCATGACAGTAAACACCAGACACTGGCTAGCATACTTGCTTGTTTTTATAGATAAATCGAAAAGCCAGTCCATTTCATATATGTGTCAAGTGTCGTTTCGAATGGATCTTACCTCAAACCACAAAACATATCCATGTCTTTATTCCTACTTGAAATCTGAAAAGCTTTACCATGGTAGAGGTGCACGAAAGAGTAAGTGTTCATTGATACTACGTAAATTTCTTTGGGCTGATTGAATTGGATATTGAATGCCTTTTGGCCAAAAGTTGATGAAAATTCTGAATCATTGAAATGACATTGTGCCACGATACTAGACTACATTCAAATGAACAGAGAAAAACACAATGGTATGTAATCATCCACGCAAGCAAAGTCATAAAAGAGACACAATCAAAACCGCAACAATACTGGCTTTTTCGCTAAAAAATCAAAATTTTATAATTTCAGACATAAAATCTCTTGTTTGGCAATCAAACCAAGAGCTTAGGAAATCCTACGAGAACAAAAAAATTGTGAACATTTAACGAGCAAAATCTCAATCCCGAGTGCCAACTAAAACAGGTGGCATTTGCGGAAATTCCCACATATATGTCAATTATAATAACCCTAGGCACAAAGTAGAAGATCAATAAAGCAGAATAGCGAGCGAAATATACAAGAGAGATGACAACGATTTCGAGCATAAAACAACATTTGATGACTAGGTGTGAGCAACAACCATAAAAGACATACACACACAGACGTTTATTCTTGAATCTTGAGTTATCACGTGATCCAACTTCCAACTATCCAATGGACAGAGCCCCTACAAGACTCCCTACCAGAACACAACTTACAACTTACCAGGGGTATTGCATGCTGTAATAGTTTTAATCCATATCACAGCACTGCCGCGGGTAGATTTCTAGCAGTTCATCAGGACATGCGGACCAATCTCTCTAGCATGCACTATAGATGGTTGAATCATTGAAGTACATTACGAAGTAAACTCTACAAAACGTGTGTAAAAATGTATGTCAAAAAATGTGTGCCCCAATTAAGTTAGGAGATAGCTCATATTGATTTGCAGCGCAAAATGCTTGAGCATAACTATGGGCATATTGGTCACGTGAAAATCATGTGGATGTGAGAGCTTTGTCATTGTAACCGCAAAATGAAGATTTTGGAAAGGATGAGTGAATAGCTAGGGTTTGGTGGAGCACTATATAAGGAAAAGCATTGGCAAAGGATAAGGCTCCAATAACTTCAATCAAATATTAAAGATTCTTCGTCTCTTCCATGATGAAGAGTTATCTGTTACGTTTACGCAAGTTCTTGGGTGATAAAACAAAAATGAATGTTTGCAGGATCGTCTCATTTTTATACGTCTACACAAGTTCATGGGTGACGAAACAAAAATGAATGCTTACAGCATCGTCTGATTTTTTTGAACTTTGAAGAGGTTCTATGAGTTGTATGAGGAGTATCCTCTTTATCACCACCATCCTGCAAACATTCATCAAACTTAACACAGTTGCTCCGTGCTTGCCAACCATATAGCCGTTCCGTATGTGCATGCCAACCGTACAGCGGCCATAGGTACTCCTGAAAACCCAATGTACTGCCCCAAAAACCATTTCCTGCCACCCAAGGTCACCAGTAGCTTATAAGGACGCCTATGGGGGTTGGACCGGGTTGTTTAGGGCTCATTTCATGTGGAAGGGAGCTAGTAGTAGTGAACGAAATCTATAATCTGGGCTTGCAAGTTTAGATCATTTTATATTAACTCGGTTAATCTACTCTATTAGATTGGAAGTCGCTATTGACGGTCCAAAAAAAAAATATTTTACAAAATTCCTGACTTTTTGGAGTTGTAATAACAATTGCCAAAAATCGAATCCAAAAGTAGAAATGAATATTTTCATCTTTACATTCAAAGTGGTACAGGTGACACAGCAGTTGCAACAGAAGAGAGGGAACATAATAAATGGCACCTTCACACGCTACAAAGTAAAGGAGGGAAATTGCTCCCAGGGCTATTCACTCTTGTTCTTTTCAATTAAAAGGTGTGTTCAAACAAAATGAAGAAAAGAAAACCGTAAATTCCAATCGGAAATCACAAATAACTCACAATAATTTACAAAATAACCTACAGAGACACTCCACGAGCGAGACAAGGTTATAGCTGTTGTGTAGGATTCTTGGGCTGTAATATCTGAACAAGAGACCATAAGATATCCATTCTGTGTATGCTTCTGTTGTTTTGCCCCTGGAGTAATTTGGAATTCAAAATTAGGTCACTGAGTCTCCTGACAAAAAACACCAGACGCAAGCAGACTAGCTCTTATATTCTACGCTCAACATGCAGGTCCCACAGGGATGGATACTAGCAAGTATAGCAAATGCTTGTTTTATAGATAAGTCAAAAAGGAAATCCATTTTAGAAATGTCAAACATTTTAAGCGTTATTCCATACGGATCTTACCTCAACCACAAAACATATCCATGTCTTGTCACCACGGGCTTCCGTCACACCTTTTAAGATTGTCAGACCCGAGCACCTGATAGCCTCAGCTATCTCTAGAAAATGACTGCATTCTTCACACATCAGCTGCATGGGGAAGAATTCTTTTAGTACTGAGAATTCGGTAAAGACAAACAAAATCATATCGGAAAATGATACAAATCAATAAGCTTCATCATCAGACTGAACTAGACACGATCAAGCACATCTCCGGAGTTCATGTATAATAAGGACAGAAACACTCGCTAAGAAGTATTTATACCTCTACAACCATCTGTCCATTCTTGTTGAGATTCTCCACTATTATTGAACAAACTTTCAGATTGCCACCCACCTCCACTGCCCAGCTTGATCCACGTTCATAATTGGAGGATCCTAGCATGCTTGCTTCCTTCGGACACAACTGTGAATTAAGCATTATGATTAAGTAGATAATAAACTATCTCAATAAACATTATATATTCTTGGTGATGCTTGGTAAACTAAAAATGAAGGTTGAAATTTGACAAATAATCCCAGGCCATAATATACTTACAACCAAAACATTTACCTTTGCATCAGCACATTTATTTAGTTTGTCAGCATGCTTAGTGACGCTTTGTAGAAAGAGCATGTGCTTGATTGTGCGCTCCAGCAGTGAATCAATACTGCACTGTACAGTTAACATGAAACTTTTAGCACATATAGAATGAATAACAAACTTCTTTTACAAGGCCCAAAACTAGAAAACAGTTTGGAAAGCCACCTTTGCTCCAGTAGGTATTAGCTCCCGCAGTTCCTTAATACGATCTTGGATCAATTGCCGGTCCCTTGGCCTAGGTCTAGAACTTTCACCAGGTCTTGCCCTCTTCTTGCTATTTTTGGACAGTCCAGAAGACCTCTCCGGCTGCTCACTACAAGCACTAGGACAAGGTGATGAAAACCATTTTGGAGATATCACCCCGCAAATCCCTGATGAGCTCAAGCATTGCTGCATGTCCTCTCCAGTAAGAGAAGGCTGATCAATAGAAAAATTTTCAGAATCAATTGTATGGGTAATACGGCCAGAAGGCTCTGGATATTTTTCAGTTGTCAAAAGGGACTGCATTGATTTACAGAATGATTTTTCATTTTTAACAAGACTGCCACTTTGGCAAACATTAGCCACTACCTGCTTCAAGAAGATGCTCTTGACAAGAATCGGATGTCAACTGGCTAGTGTTCATCCCCTCAGGGATCTCAGGAGTAATTCTATCTCCATTCTTCCCCGCTACCCAATCAAAATAGTTACCCTGATTCAGAAAAGCTGGTCCAAGTGCTTCATGCAGCTCACAGCCAGCAGGGAAGGCCATTGATGCACTAGATGTGTCCATGTGACCTGATTCAGTTTGAAACTCCAGGTTTTCCAGGCCCTTCTGAAACTTAACAACTGAGGGTTCACTTACATGCAACACCTCATTCTGGTGAAGATCTACCCTGTCCGCATTAATCCTTTCATGTGCAGTAGAGTCGAGAAATGTTGTAGGTAAGTCTGCAAAATCACATAAATTTACAATGTCTTTAACAGGATCATGTGATAATGGATGGGCATAGATCATTGAGGCCATTCCAGTATCTTTGCAGCCACTACTCTCCCCTTTACACTTCCTGCTATCAAGTAATTCTACACCTACTAGTTTGCGATGCTCCATACTGAGAGCGCTTGATTTTGACTGAGGCAGTTTGCCAATCTCAACACATCTGAAGTTGGATGACTCAAGTCCTCCATGCTTATTAGCCAGTTCAACTTCCTCTTTCAGACAATTTTCGGTCAGTGAAGAAATGTAAGAACTATCATTATCTTTCCCAAGATGTGGGAAAATGGACGACCAAATATCGGAGCTTTCTCTGTTTGTGGCTGTATCTAAATTATTTACACAATCAGGAAGAACCCCTGAAGCCAAACGTTCCAGAGATATATTTGTCTGAGGCAAAAAAGAAAAACAAGAATAGCCAGGTGTCAGTGACCTTATCTATCTGTTTCACAAGAAAATTAAAAAATAAAGTGCTTCACTTATATACACATATAAACCACAGGAAGCCACATGCGCACAGAGAGAGAGAGAGAGAGAGAGAGAGAGAGAGTTACCGAGCATACTGAACTGTTTATGCTATATTGCTTTGGATTAGGGATATGGTCTATTGGGAAATCTTGAAGAGTCTTAAAAGCATCTGTGATTTGAGATATCAGCTTCACATTTTCAGCTACCTGCACCTCTCAAACAAAGGTAAGGGAAAATGAGTATACATTTGAAGTATATATAACTTGAAAGCATAAATCCCGTATTTGTATAGTCACCACAGAATTAAATAACAGAGTTGCATGGACTAGAATCGTAACATCTTCATAGCTATAACACTCAACAGAATCAAGAAATAAGCACATGCTATCCCGTGGACTAGAACGGTTAAGTTATTCACCAAAATTAAAGAACTTACTTTATTCAAAGAACCAAGCTGTATAACTCCATGCGGAACAACAGCCACAACAACAATGGTCTACAGGAAATTGTAAATAGTTTAAATTAGCATGACATCCAAAATATCTTAGAAATCATAATCATATTAAAGTATAATATAAATAAGAGAAAAAAAACTTGTTAGTGAGAGTGAGAGTGTCAAAAACCCAAACAAACTTGCATTCATATCTAACCAGCCATCAGCTTACCGGTCCTGTACAGTTATGGAAATTTAAATTCCATTTCTTACCTAACCCAAAAAAAAAAAAAAAAAAAAAAAAAAAAAAAAAAAATCCTTTGCTTGAGGACTAGCAAAAAGTAAGTTTGGGGATATTTGATGTGCGCAAAATGTACTACTTATGAATATTATCATTTTGGTCAATGGACGGAGAAAAATGTTTCTATGAGAGTAAACAGATACCTATGTCAAACTAATAAGCAAATAACACATATTGCAGGCAATGACATAATTTCCACATTTTCTCTTATTATGAATAGGCCCTGAAGAAATAACATTAATTAACAAGTGTAGTATCTCATCAGTTATCACAACTTCAAACAAAATCAAACAGAGAGATGAGAGAGAGACGGACAGAGAACGGCATACCCTTATGCCAGCTGAAAATTGACTTTGCCACCCATCACAGTACTGAAAACACCCAAAACATAAAATTGATAACAATAAATGGCTGCAACGATGAATCGATAACACCTTTCAAAGTAAAACTATGCTAATCAGTACTATTACCTGCAAAGTATTAAACCATTTACCTGCAATGGTGAACAGTTATTCTTAACAAGATCATCAGCATAAATCCATTGATGCTCGCCAGTAACCGCCACCTGTCCAACAATCCTGAAGGTAAAGAATAAAGGAAAGAATTAATGCAAACTAAAAAGTTTTTATTCTTTTCCTTTTGTTTTTTCCATGCTCCCAGGCTATCAGCTACCATAATTAGATAGATGTTAACAGGAAAGACAAAAGGTGAGACTAAATAAGTTTTACAAAAATACTGGCAACAGTTATTGAATTTACAGTTCTTCAACCAAAACTCTGAGAATAAGCATTACGATAACTAGAAAGTGACAAGAGTAATTACCCTTCCCCCAGATTATATACGTGGCACGACATTTTTGCCACAGCTAGCCCGAGGGGATCGTGTGAATAATGGCTATCATGCAATTTATCCAGAGTCTTACTGAAGCACCTAATCTCGGAAGAATCATGTTGCTCACAGTTGTCAAAGTAAGCATCCTCACAAGTCAGCACCCTGCATAATGCAGCACACCCCATGTCAAAATATTACGAGGGATGCACAACTGCGTGTATAATTCATTAAAAGGGAATTTTTCTCAGTACCCACAATTCTAATTCGATTATTACATGCCGAAATCAATAGCGAGATTCGTACTCTTTTATACTGAAGACCAGATATGAGAGAAAAGAATGACTTGGGTACTACTTCTCCTCCAACATTACTTTCTTTCACTACTATTTTTTGTTTTCGCCTTTCGGGTTGAGATAAATTCACTTACTCTCTCAACCAAAAAGAACAGAGGCAAAAGGGGTTTAATTCAAGAACCATATAACACATACTAACACACACAAACAATTACAAGTGAAATAAAAGTACATCAGTAACAGGAAAACAAGTACAAAAACTCACATTCGAGCTCGGTGCTTGAGTTTCCAGGAAACGGCGTAGTTCCACTCCGTATTGAAGCAGAGGCTTCTCAGAATATTGTGCAAGTCAGTCCCCATCTCCTCCCCCAAAGCTTTATTTTTGTTTTCCTAATCACCCTCTAAACAACAAACACCCAAACAAACAAATCCCCAACCCAAAATTTCAATTGTGGCGCCTAACTTGGTGCTCTAACTTCCCCTATACGACCCTCTACCCGCCTGCTTCCTCCGTAAGCCCGCTCGCCGCTTTAACGGAGGTCCTACCGCCGCTAACAGCAACCGATCCGGTCCCATCCCCCTAACTCTTTAACCGTAACCTCCGCGCTCCGCGGCCAATACACCACGCTTTCCTCAATTCCCCTCACAGACTCGCAATCTCAAACCCTATAACTACATAGTCAGAGGTATCGTTGCAGTCTCTGCAATCAGCCATGAACTTGTACGGAAACATCGAAAGTGCTACAAAATAAAATCGAACAAAAAAAATTAGAGAAATTGAAAACTTCCCCCGCAGCTTCCTGACGAAACTTTAACTCGAAACGCGATCGATTTGAACCCTAGCGTATATCCGACGACATGGATCTCTCACAGCAACAACAAAAAAGGTGCGAAATTTTGAAAATTTAATTTCTGGGAATTGTTCGGATTTCTTCGCACAGAAAGTTTCAGATGAAGATCTGAGAGTTCAGCAGCAGCTCGCTGAAAGAGAGAGAGAGAGAGAGAGAGAGAGAGAGATAGGAGTAGCTCCGAAAGCAGGAAGCTTTAGCTGCGAAATGTATCAAGTGTAGCAAATTTCAAAGCTTTGAGCTGAATTGGCAGCCATTTTTAACGACAATGCAGCTTTTTCGCTTTTTCTAGAGTGAAAAAGTAGAGAGAGAGAGAGAGAGAGAGAGAGAGAGGCTTCAATGGCTTTCTTTTCTTTCAGAGAGACAATGAGAAAAGAAGGCACTTTTGGTGCGAATTGCGACTTGTTTAATATAAGGTGTATACCTTCGCACGCTGTTCATTTTAGCTTTTCTTCCCTAAACGTGCACCGTCGTTTCTATATAGTGCGCCGGCTTATCTACAGCACGCATCCCTGGGTGCTCACTGACCGGTCGCCACTAAAAACCCTTTCGTGTTCCTACTCTGCGCATCCTGCGCACTTTAGCACGTACCACGTTTGCGTTTTGAGAGTGAAAAGATGGGAAATGTTAAGGAAAAATAGTGGCTCAAGGCCTAGGAGGGAGAGAAGAGTGCTGAGGAATTGGGGAGTTTATTTATATATATTGAGATCAAATTAAATCTTCAAATTTGGTGGCTATGAGTACACTTTCTAGGTAGTGTCCTTTGATGGCAAACAACATGATGTCCATGTGAGGAAATTGATCCTTATCTTGCCCTCAATTATCAAGGGTACAATCCCCACCTCTTTCCCAAACCAAACAACAAAATCCAATGCACTTATCCCTCTCTCCCTACTCATTTTTCACAATGATTTTATTGCCCCAAAGTTGGGACATATTACACCGCCCTCATTTTCCAATGTTCCCTTTCTTACATGAGAGATGTTGACTCTCATAAATGGGACTTTCCGGACTCTCTCTAACATCTCATGTTTTTGGCACAATTCCCGTATCATTATTATAAAATATTATGTCAAAAACATAAGGTGGTGGAGAGTTCATAAAGAGTCTCCTCAACATTTCTCTTCTTACATTTACTAGTTTAGCGGTCAAAGTTTCTTCGTAATACTTTTTTTCGATCAATCGGAGATTCCAATTCGATATTCTTTCTAACTTTTTGAGAAAAGTCAATAAGCTTACAGTTTGCTAGTATTCATCTTCATTTGTAAGTTGGATGTTTTAAGTTCTACTTACATAAATCACGCCTTCAGTATTTAATTATGATTATCCTACTGTTTTGCTGCATGACTTAGCCATAAATTGCACCCATAAAATCGTTAATAAAAAGTTATGTGAAAAATATAGCGACCGAATGTGTTTTAGCATGCCCAACCTTAGCACACGATAAGTTGGGCGATAACTTAGGGCCTAACAAACCAAGTGACTCAATGACTCAATCCTTTTGCTTTTAAAGAGATTCAATTTTATTAAGAGTGAATTCCACATAGCGAAAATGAGAGACATTAGCATATGCTTATAAGTAGTTGGACTATTTCATATATTGCCAATTGGTTTTATAGTGGAACTTCAACTTTTGTCATGGTATCAGAGCAGGTTGTCCTATGTGAAGCCCAACAACCACCACTCGTGCTCCTTGTCACTCGATCTACGTTATCCATGTGTTAGGTTTGAATATTCGCCATACATGAGAGTGCACGTTGAGGGTGAAACCCACATCGAGAAAAATGAGGGACCTTGCATATGCATATAAGTAGTTAGGCTCCTCCATATATTGCCAATTGGTTTTATAGTGGAACTTTAACTTCCTTCAAATTCATTTGAGAAGTCTAATTTATTAATTTTTTACAATACAATATTTCTTATATACCAAGATATATTTACACTAAGGGCATGTTTGGTGAGCCGAACGAGATGGGATTTCATATTTTGGAGTAGTTAGGTTAAGATTGGATTCGGTGGGTTGGACTTTTCTTCTGTTGTTTGGTGTAGACAAACTTAACTTGTTAGGATTGGATTGAAAACAGTCGTAACCACCACTGACCTAGCAAACCAACAATCCACCTGACTTAATCACCTACAATCCACGATGTTGTCACGACCCATTACTCACGACTAAACCTGTAAACAAGTTGAGTTTATCAGATTTGGGTCGGGTTTCAATCCGACCCGTTAAGCTAACAAGTCATCCAAACCCAACCCTTTAAGCTAACGGGTCATCCAAATCCAACTTGTTAATCTAATAGATCACCCGTTAACATTTTTTTTTTTTTGCATTCCAATACAATTACACATATTAACTACAAGGATGTATAAAAGGGTGCTGACTTGGATATCTAGTGAAAAAAGTACTGACTTGAATATATAGTAAAAGGTGTGCATATCTAAAAGGGTGCTTACTTGGATATGTAAACCTACAAGGATAAATGAGATTATAAGTACAAAATTTCTACAGGAAGATAATTTGGATGAACATGTAAAGCAACTAATCATGTCTTTGTTAATCAAGTATAGATGCAGAGATTGTAGACTTGTAGTATTGTTTAAGCAAGAGTAAAGCATTAAATGAGAAGCATGTAGAGTAAGCAGAGGCATAAGGCTGAATGCAATTAAACAAGCAAAAGTTTATACTTCAGTTTATATTACTTACAGTTTAGAAAGAAAGAATATTATTAAGTCTAAATTTCAATCACATAAATGGTATAGGAAAAAAAACTTCAAAATGGAGAAAAAATAGAAGATTCGAGAGAGACTAAAGAGCGAGAAGGAGCCAGAGGCCCATAAATAAAGGGACAAGAGGGTAGAGAGCCAAAAGCTGAGAACGAGTGGCACAGTGCAAAACGAGCCAGCGTAGAGTTTATTTTTGGTTGTTAAGACTTTATTGAAATTACTCAAACATCCTCAACTAATGGATGTTAACAGGTCTAGCGGGTGGAACTAAAGTGACCTATTATTTAACAGGTTCACCCGTTAGCGACCCAACCCGTTAAGCATCCACCTCAATACTTGTGGAGCCAAAAATAATCAAGAAGAATATGGAGGTGACACGTGGATTTTTGGGTAAAAATGACAAAATTACTCCGAGGAACGCTAGAACTCCTTCGCGCGAGCAGTGAACAATCATCCCTCAATCAAGTCAAAAGTGCCCAAAATAGGTATTTATTCAAAACTTATTTCATCTATCCTCATCAAATCTTCTCCACAAGGTAACCCCCAAATCATTCCTTTCTAATTATATTAATTAGCTAATTGATTTATTACCTAATTAATTTATTAATAAGCTAACAAATCATGAATCTCACTCAAAAAACCATCCAAGTAGCCGGTCCTCCTCCTCCCAAAAGGATCGGCCACACTCCCTATATAAACACCCTTATTTTCTCCAAAACCTAAGTTCTACACTCTTACAAAATTCTCTAAATTCTCCAAACATTTTTCCCTCAAAATTCTAACTTTGGCATCAGAGGTTCTTTGGCCAAAGCCCCTCCCATTCATCATGGGCGTGTAAGGCTATTAGCCTTGACCTAAGGTGTTATTTGTTCTATAGGTGCAATTTTGTCCAAGAACAAGGAGGAAGAAATTTGCATCCACAAATTGATGTTTTCATTGAGAGTTAAGTCACACGCTCATAAAAGACTATCGCATCTAAGGTTTTTTGTTTCTTTGTTTATTTGTAGATTTTTTGTACGTTCTTATTCTTAGAATTTTTATTTCTAAAAATTCTGTGATAAAACGTAAAAGAAAAGTACAATGGCAAGGGGTTCAGAAACTTCGACAAACGGAAATTCCAACGTTCAAGGACTAGGATCGTGGTGATCTACAAGGCTCAACATAGCGGTGAGCAGAGCGACACCCCCACGAGGCACCACCATGGCAACCACCACGGTAGCAACCTTTGGCAAAACCCATGGCTCAAGCCATGCCACTTCAACCTTCAAGAGCCCAAGCCTTAGCCGAGCCGACCCGTGCCGTCCAAACCCAATGTGTTGCCAAGCCGAACCTAAGCCTCGCACCCGCATAGGCTACACACCGAGCAGCCCACTTCCATGGCCCAGCCTGCTTCTACGACCTTCCAAGTAGCCTAAATCAGTCTAAGATTAGTTCAACCGGCCCGACTTCAAATTTATGGGCCTACAATCAAACCGAGGGCATTTTCACCATATTTCTCCACATATTTGAATGTCCCAACTGAAATCTCGCGCTCGGAGTCTACCACACTTCCACTGCTCAAGGAGATGCATTCATTCCAAGCTTTTCTAACCCAAATGGAGAACAACACTTGTCTCGACAAGTCATAGAATTGATGAGCGTCCTCGCATAGCAGACGACCTTGGTGAATCAGCTCTTGCAACATACCTTAGACGAGGTGTCCTGAAGTAGGGAAAAGGCAGACAAAGAACCTTTCTAGTAGCATCCAGGCAAGCATCCACTTAACCAAGCACGAACCAAGCGTTCGAGCAGTGTACATTCTTGATTGGGCCCCCGAGATAGCATATTCTCCTGTCTTAGCGTGCGGAGGAGCGTGCACTCTCGAGTAGGGCCACGAACGAGCATACATTCACGGTTAGGGCCACACTATGATAGTCAACATAAGCAACCTTCCAAGCGAAGTGTTCATTCGTGGCTAAGCCCTTAATGAGCATCTTCCACCTTACATCAGAGTAGGCAGCACGAAGGAAGGAAAGAAGTAGTCACTCAGTCCAGCTCAAGCTCAACTAGCAGTCTGCAAATAATTCCCTCGTCTGCTAAGAATAAACCTCATGCACCGCAGCAGCGACATAGACGAGTAGAGCACGTAGAAGAGTATCCTAGACCAGTAGGTCATGACCAAGGGCAGCTGAGAGCTCATTACCTCAACAAAGGCAAATTCAGGAAGAAGTAGAAAGACTTCTGACCAAGCGATTACGTAATTTCCAACGTAACAAGGTCGCTAACGAGGCACTACGATGGAACATGACCAACATAAGCAAGTCACCTTTCATGGACAAGATCAAGCAGGCAAAGCCTCCATGCAAGTTTAGCATGCCACATTTCACATCCTTCAAAAGGGATAGAGACCCAGAGAGACACTTAAAACAATACCGAAGCGTAATGATCCTCCATTGAAACAACGACGATCTCATGTGCAAGATATTCACCACCACTTTACAAGGCGAGGCACAAAATTGGTTTTACACCCTACCGCCACAATCCATTTAGAGTTTCAACGAATTTTCTTTGGTTTTTACCAAAGAATATTCATCCTATCACTCGATCAAAACAAAGTCCGACCACTTGTTCAACATAAAAAAAACTCAAATGAG